GATTCCCAAACAGCTGTATCTCTTACATGTAACCTCATGGTAATATATGGGAATGAAATGGTAACCGTCTTAAAACACTTTGGATATGTCTAACATACTGGTGATGGTTTTGCACTTAAACATACTCAACTCTTTAAAAGCACATACTTTCAGATATGTATGTGTTGATATTGGCCATAGTCTTCTGCAATTTTCAATCTTCTATACATTAAAGCAAATGTTAGGAGAGTAACAGAAGTTAACCTTAGAAAAAACTGACGTTGTTCTTTGCCTTGGCACCTGAGAAGTGCCTTCCTTCTTAACAGTGTCTGCGTGCTTACATGCAGTGAAGTACAGCTGCATGGAAAAACACATTTCCGAATGAAAGAATGATTAGTTAAAAGCCAGATGGTAACATCTCCTACATATGTAAGTGTAAATCATTCTACTTGGTAGGTGATTGGAGGCAAATGGCCCATGTTGCATTGACTTTAATATGAGAAGGTGCCTTTGCCCCTGATCTTCAATACTGTTGACAGGGCTGACACTGAGGATTTCAACCTTAGGCTTTTGGAGCCAGGCTCTGTGATGAACAGTTACTATTAAGAAGTGCTCTTTTGGTGTTTCACATTTTCAAGTAAACTTTTCTGTTCTATCTCAGCTTGCATTGTGAAAACACTGATGCATTTGTCATCTCTCCTGTTACTGGCTAATGATGTTCTGCCCTCAGAGATATTTGTTGAAGGGACTGCTTCCTAACATTTTATTCCCACTCATGGATTTCCCAAAGCTAATGTTTCAATATGTATTTTCTTGTATGACTCAGAGGATTTTTCTACAGCAGAAATGGGTGATGTTTTTGTAACTCTCTTGGAATCTTTATTTGGGTATTTATGCTTTGTTTTTCTTCATTTTTGGGGAGGTCAAGATTGAGAGAGAGTAGACATTGTCCTGTGCATTTTCTTCCAAAAATACTGTTTCTACTTTCAGAAGCAATGTCTTTTCTAGTCTCTTCTGGTAACTTTTGTCCAGTTTACATGGACAAAAAAAGAAAACAGATATAAGGCAATCCCAGCAGCTTGCTTTCTTTTTTATTTTTTTTTTTTTTTTCTCCTCATGTAAATGTGCTCTGGAGCAGTTTGGTGTTTAACCTAAATTTCATGGTTTTCTACCACCCTCTGCCTGCCTTGACGGTATGCAGCGTCACAGTTCTTCACTGTTGCTCAATGGCTGTTTTGCTGGTGAATTGACATTACTCTAACCAAGGAGCCTGTCATTCACAACCCAAAACTGCCTTTTTTTTTTTTTGATTGTTTTTCTTTAACTTATTGGTGGTTCCCGTGGATTTCAGTGTGACTGACAACATTAGTGCCCCAATAAGCTGCAGGAAGTACTGTGTGCCAGCTTGCATTAAAAAATTGTAACAGTGGACTATGTTGATTCCTAAAAGCATGTGTGTATGCATATGAAGTACTGCCCAGAATGTTTTATTTCTTTGATTGGCAATACAATGATGTCTGTGTTTTCAGTGGATTAATCCTGATTACTGATCTGGAAGTCTGATGTCTACAGATGAGCTCTGCCAAAAGAATTCTCGTGGCCTGGAGCCCTTGGGGTCTTGCAGCAGTCATGCTGACTGTTTATTACTCCTGTTCAGCTTGGGTAGCTGCTGCAGCCCAAATAGCAAGAGGGAAGCATACTGGGGAGAAGATATATAACCAGCTATCCAGACTTGGAAAGACAATCTGAAACATACTCCAGAGAGCTTTTGGCACGTATTCTGTGAAAGCTAACATTGGTGCTCTTCTTTTTCTTCCCCCAAGACATTTTGCTTAAGCACAGCCGTAATTTAGTATTTTTTGATTAAAACACACCAAAACAACAAACATCAAAAACCTCACTTACCTTCTTTCTCACAGAAATCCTGAGGAGAAACAAAAGACGGTCTTATATTGTTATCCACTGTTGTCTGATCCCTTATTGCAAGGGACTTCTGGTGTCTCCAGCTGATGTCTTTGGGCAGTTCACTGCTGCTACTCAGCTGAGCTGATCACCTCTCTCTGCTCTGGGGCAAGAGTGGTGGCAGTAAGGGAACAGGCTGAATACAGGGATAGGGTTGCTCCCAGATGGAGAGAGCAGGAAGGCACCAAGACTGGTAGCCTTCTTTGCCTCATGCTCACTTCTGGGAGCCACCAGCTGCCAAGAAATGTGGTGGCATCTCCTCTGGCACTGCCAGAGGCAGTCTCCTGTTGCTGTGTCAGTTCATAGCCTGTCTTGCTGCCCCATCCATCTGGATTATCCCTATTCTCAAAGTGTCAAAACCCAACATTATTTCCATGACTGCTGACTAAGAGTATCCTTTTTCCTGGTTTCATGCATTTGTTCTTTTTTCATGGTGTATTTACCTCCATAATTATGTCCCAGGGAGGACATACAAAGGGAGGGCTGTATTAGAGGAACTGCTGGTGCCAATGTGGCTCAGTTTTGTTGGTATAGCTGCATCTATACCAGGGATTTTGCTGGCATAGCTCTGTCAGCTACTGGGTATGCATTTTTTGTGCCCCTCACAGACACAGATGTATCATCTAAGATTTCCTTGTGACCTGAGATGAGGAGCAGGGATGGCTGTGAGAGGGAGGGGGATGTCGATGCTGTCTGGCAGCTGAGCAGGAGTGGTGCCAGAGCTCCCTTTCTATCATCCTCTCATGTTGTCTGCCCAGCCTCATCTACCTGGCCCTGCTGCCTCCCTGCTGGACATGGTTTTGGTGATGGTAAATAGGATATTTCTCCTCTGAAGTAATTCAGTCTCTCAGTCCAGCCCAATGTCCTAATATCCTAATGAAAATAGAAAATCTTGTGCTGATCAAGAAACAACCAGCTTACTGTCTATTCTGTGACTATCTTTTGTGTCTCCGCTGTTCTAGTTTGTGAGCATGAAATTTTAAGTGTCAATACAGGAAAAGAAAGGCAGGATCTTCAAAGAGTTTAAAGTTTGTCATTTTAATTGTTTTCACTGACAGTATTTTCATAAGATCTTTCTAACTTAAATATAACAAGTGCCCTTTCTTAAGAGATGGCTGATATTATCCTTATGGTATACATTTTTCCCTTGCTTTTGTGATCCTAACCTAGGAAAACATCAGCATAAACTTTCTACTGTTGTTTATATTGTGTTTCTAATCTACTTGACCAGATCTGAAAAATGATCGTTCTTGTAACTAGTCTAAACAAGAGTTTTAACATCTTGTTTATTCATAACATTAACCCCTAATGACTATGGCTTAATCACCTACAATTAGCTTTGAAGATGTAGACTACATGGGAACTTGGGACCTTGTAATAAAGCTTTTAGCACCCCTGTTAAAACAATAATTTTTAAATATTCACTGTAACCTGCACAAAACAATAATTGGGGTAGAGACATTTTTCCTCAAAACCATTGGACTTAGAGGTTTAGAGTTACAATTTCCAGTGGTATAGGTGCAACACTGCTACTTAAAAAAAAAAACAACAAAACCAACAAACTTCTTTATTTTACAACTGACTCCTCAGAAATGCATTGGTATTTCTGGTCAGTGGTTTTGATGAGTAGTTCAAATATATGCTGCATACAGACGCCAGGTAAATGATGCATTGTCATTCATTTGAAATAATTGTGCCCGTGCTTTGCAAAATGAGCATCCATGGGTTTTAATGATGCTCTGCATGCGGTAGAGTGGCGTGACCCCTGTAAATGCCAGTACTCTGTGTTATCTGTACTCTGTGTTGCAAGAGTGGCAGTAAGGCAAAGGTAGTGCAACCTGCCTTGGGCCCACCAGCAGCTGTGGCAGGGGCAGATGTTCCTAGATACGAAGGATCTAGGATTACACAGAGACCCTTGGGCAGCATCCCATGCTTTACCCATGCCAGCACTCTGCATTAATGGAGAAGTATGCACACTGCTTCCTTACGTGCTTGAGCTCATTTTATTTGTCAGTGTCTTAGTGTATTCCCACAGTAAAACTTGAAGGCTCAGACCAGTAACATCAAGGAACAAACTGGACTATTTTTAAAGCTTTCAACATTAAAATGTGTGGAATGTGACTTAGTCTGTGTGGCAGATAAAATACTACAGATAAGTCACTTTATTTCATGCTTCCTGTGAACATATTTAAAATACTTACACCAGAGTGTTAGTGTACTTGTGCGCGTGCTTCCAGCTATGTTTTATTGAGGGATGATTCCAGATGTAGCAGGTTAAATCGGCACAGCAGCACTTGTTGGAAGGCTTGTGTTTGAAATGTCTCATGTAACTTTGGCAAAACAAGCTGATAGCGTGTATGGTAACCTTGTAAGTTCATAGGCACAGAATGTCTCAGTAGGAGCTGTTTTGAATTCCATACTTGGCCTGCAAAGTTATTTTGCAGGAGTTCAGTGGAAGTCATTTTTTTATAAAAATAAAGAAAAGTAATCTGTCTGTTTATAAAGAGAGAATGTTTGTGGGGCTATGTTCAGAAACATTGATGTTTCTGTTATGATTTGCATCTTAAGAAATGTGTTTCCTATTTGTCACCAATAGAAAACAAGTATTTTAGACAAATGTACTTTTGTGGGTTTTTTTTTTAGCCAGTTTTATAAGCAAAGTAAGGGAGAGCTTCAGTTATTACCAGAATAATTTTTTTTTTCCTCCTTTTATGTCAATTTGAGGAAAACATGCAAAGAAATAAAACCACCAAAAAGCTGTATTTCCTCCAGATAGAAATACTTATATTTAAAATGGTCACCATGAAAACAAAGTGCCTAATGCGAGTAGCAACTAAGTTGAAAAACCTAGAAGGTCCTGTAACACAGCCAGTCTCACTTAGAAATTTAACTTATTGTAATGGTATTGAAACTTGAGGCCATTATGTCAGAGAAGAGGCAGCACAAATGCTGTAAATTTTACTCATGACGAGGAAAGGCCAAGATGCTGCAGAAACCAGTCTTTTTTTTTTCTCTTGATATTTTTAACTTCAAGCAAGCAATAAATCTATTGTATCTTGCATGCCAAACTGAAGTCTTAATAAAAGAATTTGTTCTTGGTAAACATGACAGAATTAGGGCTATATTGAAAATGGAATCAGGATTAGTGGTATTGAAATGTGAGGAATTTAATTATTTTCCATTCTCCCCAAGGAACATGTTCTCAAATATTAGAAACAGCATTAGGGGACTAAGGAAGGACTTAAGTGCTGCAAGTTTGAATTCAAATTAGAGTTGTATTCTCTCCCATGGGACAACTAAGCTGAGAAAAGTTTTTGATTTTTGAGTATCCTACCTCAAAACACTGCTGACAAGCAATTCACGTGGTACCGTTGTCAAAAATGTAAGTTATTTTCATTTAATGACTCCTATATGTCAACTTTATTGCTTGCTCTGTTATGCTGAAAGGCTTCATGTGCAGGCGCGAGCCAGCTCCCTACATTCATTTAGTTGGTGATGATGACAGGAATTACCCTGACAGTGGAGACCTTTTTTCACTATTCTCAAAGTCATCTGGAGTAACAGAGTTTGTTTTACCAACAGGAAATATCAGCCAAGACTTGAGGCATTTGCTTTCAGATGCTTACATCTGTACATGCATTGTAGCTTCAATTTCTGCTTCCTTTCTGTCCCTTTTGCACTGCTTTCCTTTAAGTTGTAGTAAGATCTTCACTTTCTCCTTGGGTAGCTACCAGGCATGAACAGCACTTCTCAGCTTTTCTTATCTGACATTCTGTTTGCCTGGGAATGGAGGCAGAAAGGAGATTGGGCTAACATTACAGTAGAAGGGATCATCAGAATGGGGGTCATCTTGTTCTCAGTATCTGCACTTTGTGTGAGGGAGCCTCCAGAGATGCCTGTAATACCATGGGGAAGCTGCATGGAAGGCTAGATTCTTGTATGTGCTTAATACAGCATACGTGGAACCTAAAGTGACAGTTCTTTCAGATGTGAATCTAACCCATGGATGCTTCAGTTCTGACTTCAAAGAACTGTTTGTCCAGACCAGTTCCTGCTTTCTAATTCTCTTCCTTTCTGTGACCCAAATTTTTATTGGGCTCTAGCACTTCAGTAAAGTTTTAGATAAGCTTCATTATATTTTTGTATTGTACTTCCAGAGGAAGTTCAGCGATTACTTTAAAAAGCATAGTTTGAAGTTTCAATATCAATACTCACTTTGATGAGACTTTTGGATCTGTATTTCATCCCTAGAGTGGTCTACACAATGAAGGAAGAAAAAGGATAAATGATAATACTCTTTAAGAACTCTAGTACTTCCCCAAACACTGTTTTTATTTTCCCCACTACGGGTAAGCAGTTTATGCATTGCCTCTTAATTCCGTCTTAAGAGGCAGTTACAGAACAAGAAACTTTAATTATAGTTCAGAATTACTCTGTTCAACTTCTTGTCCTTATTGCATTGTTTCTAGTGAGCTATGTACAATGCTGCATTGAAATATTTGTGACTCCTCAGAAAAAAATGCATACTTTTCCAAGAGCTGCATACACTTAGGACACCATCTTCCTCTCTGTCATCTGTCAACGCTGTGTTCATGTCCAAAAAAAGAGGAAAAAAAGTGGTGTTTCCAGCAAGCCAGAAACCCAAGTAACCAGAGTCTCCTGTCTCATCCTGCCTTTTTGACCACAAAATGTGGCTGTTTTGGAGAACGTGACCTCTGACACAGTGAGGAGAAATGCTTTGCTGGTTAACAAATGTCTCTGCTGAGATGCCACTCCACAGCTTTTCAATGTGGACAGGATGGGAGTGGTTTGGGTGTTTTTTGGAAGATTTTGTGCCCAGAAGAAACAGTCTCAGTCTTGGTTTTTTGGTGTTGGAAAAGGGAATTTTAAAGTGTCCAGGCTGTCCTTCCTTCCTGCTCTCTTTCCCAGTGGAAAGGCAGAGGAAGCCCAGGCCTGCTGCCCGTGTTTGTGTGCAACACCAACGTCCACTGTTTTGCATCATGCTAAAAATGTTTTCCTCCCCTTCCCTTTGCTTGCAGCGTTTCCTGCCAACCATCTCTTCTGTCTCCTCTTCACTGTTATCAGCCCTGGCACATACTGCTTTTCTTCTTTGGTTGATTCAGATATGGCTCTACTCTCTTAGCTTTTCTCTCCCCCCATTCCCCAGTTAGATGGAAAGTGCTGAGGCTGTGAAAATCTCCTCTCTGTGAGCAGAAAAGATACTAAATTAAAGAGCTTGTGATCAGACTCACTTATCAATTATGCCAGAGGTAACTTTTAAAGATATTTGTGTTGTATGAACATAACAGCCTTGTGGTGAGCTAATGAAAACAGTGGAGAGGAAGTATTGTTTTACGGCTAGTAAGTCGGTCAAAGTCTTTGGTCTAGCACTGAGGCAGTAGCAATGTGAGTTTATAGTGATTAATAAAACATAATCTGGCTGCTGTTCACTTAGCTCAATTGTCCAAAGTGGAACATTTCACTGACACTTTGCCCCTCCCCAAGAGACAAGAAAAGTATGTTGGCTTTTCTGTTACAAAAAATATCTTAGGCAGGTAAGTATTTATCCTTGATTTGACCTCTTTCTTTTTCAATGCGTCCTGTATATCAAGCCGTTAAGCTGCATAGTGGCATCTTGCGCTGTGCTGTTGCTATCTTCAGTTACACTTGTGTATAAAGCTGAAATGCAGACACAAATTGGCCTCTCCCAGGCTCAGTAGAGACATGGCAGTCCCTACCCTTCCCCTAGGAACTTCTGGATCTATTGGGCTGTTTTGGAGCGACCCAAAAACCCACTGTAGCTCTTGAGTTCCCGAAGTCGTGGCTGGGGAAGGTAATACTGGGCCCCAGTCGCATCTGTACAGGGATTGAGGAGGTGGCCAGGGTTCTTTCCATCACCATGCAATTGTTGGAGGGGTTTGCTCATAAATCATTGAGAATTTGAACCTGGAAAGGTACTGAATGTCCTGAACTCCTTTCGAGTCAATGGGAGTTCATAGCACTCAGTCTCTTGAAAAATTGGACCTTCTGGAAGTCGGGTGTATAAAATACTTGTGCTTTTACCTCACAAAGCCACAAAGCTCTTCAGAAAAGGGCATGGAGCATACTATAAATGAAGTATTCAGAGGGGAAAACAAAAATTTCCTGACTTATTCTTGGCACTAAATATTTAATCATGACATTTGGTCTAAGAAAATGTACAAACTCTCAATGTTGCCAATTTGTTTTACCCACAAACCGACAACAGACAAAGTTGTGCACACAAAGGTTATTTATTTTGAGCACAGCCAAGGAATGTTAGTATTCCAAATGCTTCCTTATATCTCCCCATGGGATCTCTTTAATAAGTTGCATAGTATTTTTCAGTATTAGAGGATAGATAATATAAGATAATGTAAGATAGACATGGTAGGTCTGTACTTAAATACACTAGGTATGTTTTCTTTTTTTCTTCTTTGAAGGAAGTGCAAGCAGAGAACAAATAGTTTGTGGACAGTGTTAAATTAAAAAGCAAAACCTTCAAAGGCCTTTCTAACAATTTATTCTAAAACTATCAGCCAAGAGATGGTGTTCCAAGCAAAATAACTAATTATGTGGGAGATTAGACAAGCATTGATTTAGTTTTGGGGGTTTTGGAGTGGTAGATAATTCTTTAATAGCAACAGAACCCATCTCTGGCCTTGAGTCCAGGTAGACCCTCTTCTGAGGACAAGTTTATACATAACCTGTAACAATATTCTTGGAAAATGTGAAAGCTATTTGCGTATTTTCTGTGGACCTTGGCTGACTCTAAAACGCTCCTCATTAGAGATTGAGAGCAAGGTTAAAGAAGGATAAGGGAGTGCCACAGTGAGAGTTCGTTAGTTCTTTCAAACTTACATTAATTTAAAATAGCATTGCTTTTAGAGAATGTAAGGGCATTTATCTGGAATATCAGGCAGTTTGACAGTGATCATGTTACTATGAAAAACCAGTGGGGCTTAGTGGGCCAAGCATCACTATTTTATATCATAGCACATGACAAAGTAAGACTCTAAACATAGAGCTTTAGCATTTAACATGTGGAGATGTGGAGATAAAAAATTCCTTTCTGCGCACTAAAGCACCAAACTCTTTCTCATTTTGGCAAGAGTGTTAGAAAAAGGGGAGTGCTCTTGTTACTTGTTTGCTGTTTCTTCAGTTCTGGTGTAACTTGTGATAATATTTCTCCTTAGACTGTTTTGTGTATTTGCTTGTGGCAAGTGATTGTGCCAATTCTAAATTGCTCTAGCTAAGCTGTGCTCTTGGCCCTCACTTATGCAAGGGGTGGTGTTGACTTTTGGCTGCAGGTTTCTAAGAATTCTTAAGACCAAGATGTTACCAGACAAGTACTTGCTGAGACATAAATTCTTCTTGGGGAAAAGTATCGGGACATTTGTTTTTTCTTCATCTATTATCTAGCAGTTATCACTGAACAAAAATTAAAGAAATCTTGAGGCTTTTGGTGAAGCTGGTTGGTTTTGAAGCAGTAGACTTGTAGGGTTTCTGTACCAGTCATTGTGATGTATATCATGAGAGTGCAAATATGTTATGTTTGTAACACTTATCTTAGATGCTACTACTGACTTTTTGTACCTGGTTGTCCACTTGCCATGTGTTGTATTTTTATATTAATAGTGGATATGCAGTTTGTGGGTTTAATTTGGTTATGCTGTACCTGCTTTAACATGACCTGTGTTTCTCTTTTCTAGGAATAACATGCTTGAAAGTACTTGGTAGTGCTGATTACCTGTACTCCAGCACAAGAGCTCCAGCCCAATCCTTTTCAAACACTTCTCTCAGAACATGGGGGAAAATGATGATGAAAAATACAGTCAAGCTGGCCAGATATTTGAAAACTTTGTACAAGCATCAACATGCAAAGGTACCATTCAGGCCTTTAATATTCTCACTCGCCAACTTGAATTAGATCCTTTGGACAATAGAAACTTTTACACCAAACTGAAGTCAAGAGTGACCACGTGGAAGGCCAAAGCTTTGTGGAACAAGCTTGATAAAAGAGCAAGTCACAAAGAATATAAACGTGGAAAATCTTGTATGAACACTAAGGTAAGTAGAGTTCGGTTTGGGATTTTGTAGTTTAGAGTCTTTCACACTTTTTTCCTGCAGAAGCAAGGTTCCTGTCATCACATGCAATGCATCCATTCATGTAACTCTCCCTTGAACATACTTTTTGAAATTATGGGTGATATCAACTGATTTTGACAAGTTTTCAGGTATTTTTGTTCTGCAAGTTTTATGAAAACACACGGTATGTAGGAGTGATCCTTAAAGCACCCTGCTTTACAATCTGCCTCAATCACGCAAAAAGCTTTTCTACCCTCTTTGGACATCAGTGTCAATAAGGCATAAGATGTAAACTCATGAGGCAGTAGATTTCATTCATTCCAGGCTCACAAGAACTACTGGCTTTATTAAACAGTGTTTTGAAAGGTCCAAATCATAGCATATTCAGCAGGCTTCTCAGTTTCCTGCTTTGTGGAAACTGTAGAATATCAGGGCTGGCCTGATGCTTTTCAGCAGCAGTTCTCAAACTGTTCTCTGGGAAGTGCAGCTTGGAGGTCTGGGGATCTGTCTTTGTCACCTAGCACTGATTCTAGTTGCTAAACAACAGCACAAGAAAATCCTGCACTATTTATGGATCTAAATACTTTCCTGTAACTGCTTTTTTGCAAGCAGAATGTGGATAATTGCTAGTGGTAGTTACTGAAGGAAATGGTTGGCTTGGTTGGTCGTGAAAAGGGCAGGGTATTATCTTCTCTTCAGTAGGGCATGCAATACCATATTTTGATACAGAGAGCCACTGAACATTGGTATAAATCTTGTTGACAGAGCTGTACAACATACTCTAGCTCATACCACTTGTTTCATGTAGTTATCACAGAATATTTTTGATAGCTTTCTCTTGGAGCAATTTACTGCTAAGTGATGGCTAAAAGTTGCCCCAAGAAGGTTAAGTTTAAAAAAGCTACTTGACTGTATTGAGCAGAGAGGGAGGGTAACTAGACACAAAAATGAAGAGGACTTTTTAATTGAAACTATCACTGAAGTGTTATGTTGGACTCAGTAGATAGGCAATGTTGACGGTCTCTTCCTGTTTGCATCATTGCATTGAGGCTTCTCAGGAGCACCAGGGAGAAGGACACCATGTTACCTTCAGTATATATATATAGAGGTCTCCAGTTTTATTTATTCATTTTGAATAAAGTCCCATAAAGTGATTATGAATATTTTCTAAGGTAACAGATGCCCTTACTACAGTTTTATTTAGTAAGTGAAGCGTGCCATTACAGCTATTTGCACTGTTTTCCTGACAGTCTCTGTTTTTATCTTTTCCTTTCATCTCCTTTTTTTTGACTCTTGCTTCCTTCCTGCCTTTTGTTCTTTTGAAAAGGCCTTGAACATATGTCATTGAGCATCTTCATGATGAAAACGTACAGGAAAGGGAAGGAATGAGAAAAGGTCTGATGGTTAACAAATTATAGGAGACATTCCACATGCACCTTGCCTTACATATACAGCCTCAGGCCCACATTTCATAGTTAATTTGAGGAAATATTTGCAACAAAAAAAGCAGTTTTAAGACACATGTGAAATATAAAAATGAAGTTCTCTCTCAAGTGTGACAGTAAAATGCCAAGGCCTGGTTCTGCAAAGTTCCTGAGCAAAATGATTGATTTTTATGTATGGGAGAAGGCTCATGGCAATCAGTTGGTACATAAAATAAAGCCTGTTTAGTGCTTTACAAGGCTGCCAAGCTGGAGGCTAATCAACACCTTCCACAGTGTTCGAAGTATGGTATTACTGCTCTTTGCAAGTAAAGGTTTATTTTTAGTGGCGTGGTGGAAGTATTTGCAGAAATTAATAGACGTATCTGATGCACATATGATCAAATTACAGTAGAGTTTAGAACGTCTGTATGTGAACAGTGTGTGTATAGATAATCTGTGAAATACTTGTAGATGTTCATTATGAGCCTGGACCATGCCCAGACCTGTACTTCACTGTGTCATCACGCATTTAACGAGAGAAACATGAATCTTCAGACTGCTGCAAAAAAGCAATAACCACAGTCTCTGTGGGGATATCTACCAAACATTCCTCACCCGTGAATCACACACAGCCTGCTGTGAAAGCCTATCTATGCAACATGAATGAGAGGAGACATGCTGGGAGAAGGCTGTGGACTCTCTGATCACTGCAGTGGTGTGCTCTGACAGAACCACTTACAGATAAGGAATTCTCAGAAATGCTGGCAGTCCAACCAAAATACCAGTGTAGAGAGATTAGGCTACAGTATGCGTGCCATGATTTTCCTTGAGTGCAACTGGTGATTTTAAGTTCGTCTGTCTTGCATGTTATGCCAGCTACCATTTTTAGTAGTGAAGCAGGCAAACAGGAGTTAGCAGGCTAAATCCTGACAACAGCTCACTTCTGTGCAGCTGCCTGGGGGCTTGTTGAAGTAGATCATCCCAGAGTAAAAAATCTTTCTTGTTAAAGCAGGATCACAAAATGAGCTAAGTGGATTTTTGCAATTGCAGTTCTGTAAACAGAGCCAAGGTTGCTAGTAGGCATCATTAAAAAAAAAAATGACTTGAAGGCTTTATATGAGCTCGTGGCCATGAGCTGTGCAGCTGAGTCTGCAGCTTCAGTTCTCAGATATGGCTCTGCAATCTGGCTTCTTGCAGTCTCTCCAGTCTTTGGAGGAGATAAAGGAAATTAAACACAATTGGCATCTAAATTACTCATGGTGGTTTTTTTTTTGGTGTGTTTTTTAAAAACTGACAATCTACTGCCTTACCCCAAAACTGTTCATATTTTTTGCACTCTTATTTAAGAGGCGAATGTCGTACTTGTTGATTTTTGCATTTATAAACTCCTTAGCCACACTTAAGTTACTCATTACAATATACATAAGTTTTATACACACAGAACGTACCACTACCACTAAATAACAATAATCTTGTGTTTTAACTGCTCTTGAAGAACATTGCCAAATACAGCTTTCCAGGCTTCTACAATTACATGATTTTAAGCTGGATGAATAAAACCAGTTGAACAATTTTCAAGAAGTTCAAACCCACTGCTATTGCAGAGTTGCCTTATTATGGACATTATTTTCCCTTTTATTCTTTGTAGAAGAAAACAAAAAAACACCCCAAAATAAAACTGAAGTGCTATAGAAAGACATGCACAAAATTGGGGTGGGAATAAACTTTTTCTGAAGCTGTAGGAGTCCACCTGTATGTACGCTAAGTCTATATGAAACAGGTACTTCCTTCCATCACCAACTTGTAAAATAAAAATGAATACTGTTCAGAATTGCTGTTTCTGAGAGCTGGCATTTGTTCACTACTACTAGAGAGAAATGGAAGTCTGTCCTAAGTAGGCAAAGCTCTAGAAACCTGTGATTTTTGCAAGTGCGTCTAGAAAAAGAGCACAGATTTATTATCCTGGCAAAGCTTCTCTCTCATTTTCATCTTTTGCTAATCAGTGCAGAGTAATGTGCTCAGAATCTGTAATGATTATTTATTTCTTCAGGGAATGAAGCATAGCTAGACAACTGAAGAAGATTAAAGTTTTAGCGTATGTTGTTCACTGCGCTAACAGTTTGAATGTCTCTAGTCTAAAGTTTGGAACATGCAAAACAAAATACAGTGATGAACAAGAATTCATCCAGCTAGTTGCAGTGTATTCAGTAGCCTTTTTAAGACATGGGAGCATTCTTCAAACATTTATTTGAACCTCTGTGTATAGAGTAGATTCTTTACTTGCACTTGATTTACTGGCCATTTACCTGTGCAAATTATACAAATATATGCATGCTTGTATAAATGAGGCTCCCGCTGATGTTTGAGATGTGTATGTATATGTATCAGAGGACCTGGCTTGTGCTGTCCACCTGAAATTCTGACTCTCCTCATTCTTGAGAAGAGGAGAGGCCACTGCACATGAAAACATCCCAGACTTAATCTGAAGAGAAGTGTTGATTCTCTAAAGCAAATGTGGTGTTTTCTTCCCCTTCAAACATGTGTGCTGTTTTTTCAAACACATGCTTACATGAAGGAAATTCTAAAGTGCTACTATGTAGTTACCAGCTGCCATGGTAGACTGGTTTCAAGGCCTAACTGGACAAAATTAGCATAAAGCAAGTAAATAAAATCAAGCCAAGAAGTTTTGAGTGCTGTGTATGTAAATACACACATACATCCTCATTAGTAGATGTGTAGAAACATATACATTCCTGAAAAGCAAGTTAAATGATCTCGAGCTCTGTCTCTTGTTGGCCTGTCTAGTTTTCCTTGTTCCTGGATTTGGCCTTTCAAAGCTTGTTTCTCAGCAGATCAGGTTCCCTTCCAAAACCTCTTCTTGCAGAACTTTTTTCAAGAGAATGTCTCTAAAATTCTTTATGACCTTATTTCCATGGCTTATGTAAAAAAACACAGTGGCTCTGTTTGGTGGTGTCCTATGCTGTCCAGTCTTACATGGACTCAGTGGCATGTGCATCTCTGCTGTAGGGAAGGCTTTGCAGACTTCTCTGGCATGGTGCTGCTTTAGCAGAGAGCATGTGGCTTGAGGGGAGCCAGGTAGTTGGGGGCCAGGGTGTGAGCTGAGGAGCAGCCGTGGATCAGGAATGGTGCTGGAGGCTGGAGGTTCTACGCCTGACTCAGTGTTGGCTCAGAGCCTTGTCTCTGATACTAGCCACAGTGGTGTACCCATGAATGATAAACCAGGATGGTCTTTATCGGTCAAACCCCTTCTGAATCCTTTGGGAGTTAATAAAGCTTACTTTACCTGGTGCTCTCCTTCCATGGATTTGAGTAAGGGAGAGGTACCCCTGGGCCATGCTGGGTACTGCCATGTTACATAGCTGTAGGGTAGTCAGCAGGATGAGGAGTGGATACAAGGTCATGCTCCTTGTTATTAGGTAGAAGTTGGCTTCCTACCAGTCCTTGGTTGTTTACAAACATTCTATTCTGCAGTCTTGGCCCTCATGGTAAGTAAGGCAGGTTGGGCTCTGGATGTCTTCCTCTCTCCTGTCTCCACCT